AGGGCAACAGACATTGCCATTCAGCGGACAAGGAAACGCAACAACTCAGGCACTGAGCAAGCTGACAGAACTGGCAGTACGAGACCGCCCAAACCATTTAGAATCCACAGGTCCCAAAAACCATACTGTGCAGTGTATCAATTCTTGGATGAAGTCGCAGGTTCCAGATACGAAGCAGCATGCTGAGATTGATCGACGTGCCAGGGAGTTTAAGGAAATGTACGAGAAACTCGATGCTGGCCAAGCACCGTCTCTACAGCGGATGTTGGTGGGTTGGGGCATGGAGCCCAGTGATTCAACCAAATTCAAGCCAGGGGAGGCTCTCAAGCTCCTCACGATTTTGAACCATTTGCACCGCTGACTTTGTCCGCATTTTGCGGATGCATGCATGACCAGTTTTGACTTACAATTCATGGGATCAACGAAGTTTGTCCTAGATGCAATAATTCACAAGTTTTTCCGGTGGATACAACCAGTCCGGAAGACCTTTTTTGAACAATTCAACTATTTCTCCATGCGGAGATACCTCTGGTTGGAAACGATGCTTTTCACCAGGTTCGTTCTGTTGAAGAACATGTGCAGCACCACGACGAAAACATGGATCAAATTAGCACGGTTTCTCAAATCACAAGAGATCACAGGAATTTCTACGTTTGAGCAATTCCACTCGCCAGGATGGGTGTATTTAAAAACTTCTTGCGTCCAAGAGCACGCTACCTGGTGGTACGTGGGCAGTACAACAAATACACCTATGGATAGGGAATATAGTCGCTATCGAAAGTATGAGCAACTGCGTAAAGGAGTTGACGCCTTCTTTGAACCAGCACTGAAGATTTGGCAGAGCACCCAAACATTTTTTCATTTCATCATAATTCCATTGCAGCAAATTGACGATGAAATTGCATTGCGAGCAGCAGAAACGACATTAATCGGTCAGCTCAGGCCTATGTCGAACCACCCATTTGTCAATCCATTATTGAAGAAACACGGCGTTGCTGCCCCTTTGAATTTTTCTATGCCTTGTGAAACAGCCGGCAAGCGTGTACACGATCGGTTCTCCTTCCTTGCTAACTGTGCCCTGGACGAATCTGCCATGAGTCGCATGTGGAAGCAGCCTACACACTTGTTCGAGCTGTTGTACTGGCTAGGATGCACAACTCGACGAAAGTTCCATGCAGCACAAGTTCTACGGAGTTCGCAGGTAAACCTTGAGTTTCTGTACATGCTTTACAAACTTGTACACCAGATAGATGAACCCTGGCGCACGCGTGCGCAACGATCGCTAAAAAACTGCCTTGAGTTCAAAGGTGGGCATGCCCCCCCGCGAATGTGCCAATGTTGCTGTTGCCCCTGCAGTGCGATGTGAAAGACCTAGTTCGAACGTGGCTTCGAGAGCTGCTGCAACATCATTCCTGTTTGTTTCCCTGGTTTCATGTACCAACCACACATGTTGTTCTGCGACGAAACAGGCCTTTTTCAGATTTCGTTTTCAATTTCCATTCTTTCTTGCAGAGCTGGTCCCCAGACAAATGCGTGTTTGAATGTATGGAGATCATATACGTTCAACTGGACATGTGTTCAGCACAGCAAGTGGGTTGTTTCCAACGTTACTGGTTGGACATCTGAACTTAGCTGACACCGTGTTTCCATCACAAAGACGCTGGATCACAGATGCACAACAGCAATTTGCTAAATGGTGCGAAAGATGGCGGCTAGGAAGACGGTTCACAACCATATGGAACTACATGTGTCACTATATTTGGCAACAACATGTCCAAGCAGTTTCCCGTGACGGTGTTTGTACATTCCAAGCCCTGTTTCGTGAATTGCGTAGTATAAGAAGGTTCGTCATTTGCCCAGCTGATCACCATCCTCATCGAGCTCATTTGTGTTGCCCACATCATTATCACCACCTCCTCATGAAAACGTTCATGACACCTGACGTGTTTGTCAGATGTTCTGTCGGTTGGAACACAGTTTTCCCACGAGTTATGGTCGATTTGGGAGATAGCCTTCCACCTCACTTGCGAAAATTGGCCTCACCTGGTGGAAAGTGCCCATGTGCGTATATTCTTCCCAAACCTAGCAAACATTTTGAAGCGGCGCGTCCGATCATTGCATATACAAACAGTTGGAACAACCGATTAGGCGAAGTCATTGGAGGGGTAGTATTACAGCTGATTCGGTCATTATTTCGTGAGACATCGCTGGACAAAGACGTTGTTCAAATCATGCGGGCAATTCATTATGTGTTTGATGATTTACCGAGCCATCTGCCTATACACATGGACCAACAAGACTTATCAGGTTTTTTCAATTCGGTACCACATTCTCGAATGGTCGACAGTGTATGGTATGCGTTGCATGTGTATTGTCACAAGTACAATGTGTCTCTGGACAGCACTATTACTTTCCAACTTCAAGATCGTGAATCTGCCCAACGAATTTTTCGTGGTCGGTATCGACGAGCTGGCAATCGTACGACGCAAGTCAGTTTGATTCATTGATTCATCTACCTGCAATGGTTTCCTTTCTTCTACGTAATTCATATTTCATGGTTGGTCGGCATCTGTTTAAGCAAGTTCAAGGTGCTAGTATGGGTTCACACTTTGCCCCGGCGCTATGCGGACTCGTAGCAGCATGTCAAGAACACATTTTTTCCAAAACATTCGAGGATATGATCGCGGCAAATCGACTGTTGTGTAATACCCGATATGTGGATAACCGGGCTATGATGGGATTTGGATCATGGCGTTGTTCTCCTATTTGGTCCGTCTTCACACATGCAGCATTCTATGGAGCGCCTATTTTGCTTGAAGAAGTGTCTGACCCAATATTATTGGGGGTACACGTCGACACAGATCAAAGAACCACTACAGTTCGTTTCCATCATGATATGAGTCACTATCGCTCCAGCATTAGTCAAGGATCCGATCTTGCCTTGTCTTCAGCATTTGCAGCGCGCTTACTGATGGTACTCAGATACACACACCCAAAATCGCTGGTCATTCCTCAAATTCAAGATCTTTGTGTTATTGCGTTGCACTCCGGATTGACAATGCGCGCAGTGAAGCAACAACTTTGGAACTGGTCGGCCAAGATTCGAAACAACACTGACCACGCCGATAGGACGCGTTCCTGGATTATTGAACAGATTCTGATTCCAACCGTTCTTGATGAATGTGCGCAGTAAAAAATGCAGAACGCTGCGCTGACCATACATGTGATACCACAACCGGATATGACGGTCACATTTCTTTTGATCCGTTAAATCATCTACAGGTGATGGCGACTGGGCAAAGCCGAAAAACCCAGGATTTCACGTTGAAATAGACGAACAATTTAATAAATAGATGCTTTCGTGCGACATGTGGCGTCACAAGCGTGCTTGACACTGAGTGCGCTAGGATATAGGTCGAAATAAACGCACGAAACTTTGTTGCCCCTTCTCGCCGGACATTACGCGCGTCCTTAGGAGTCATGGCGTTACCCAGGTATAAGGGTTGGCAGGTTCATCCAACAAGGTTTCTGTTACTGCAGCAGCCAATTCTGGCGCCTACCACACCCAATCATGGTATAGAGCAGTTTTGGAGCAGTTTTCGTTCGATTGTAGCTAGCGCCATTCTACAAATTACATGCGCTCACACTTGTCATAGCAAGTTTTGCCCCGTCGTGGGGCGTGTGTGTGTAAACCCTTCTAGCACAGGGAATGGTTAACTACACATGCAGGGGGGCAAGGCCTTCAGTGACTACCTTGCCCAACGAAGCTGTGTCACTGAAGGGGAAGCAACTGAGGACGCTCAGTTGTGTACCTGCTTGGTTAAAATTGGTTAAAACTGTTGACTTCGGTTCTGTTCATGCGCTGTTTGTTTTCTATTCCGTTATCCATTTTCAGCAAGCGATTTTTGCTGTTGCACTGCATTTTGAAATCTGGTTTCACGACCGCTTCGACCTTTTCGACCTCTTCAACCTTGCGTTCTTCGATACAGCCTTGACAAGGTGTACCAGGTAGGAATGGCCAAATCTTTTAAGTTAAAACCCTGCAGAACAAACTATCCGCACGATTCGACGCGACCAATTTGGAACCAGCTCCAATTCTTAAAACCAGTCCAGTGTGTGTGCGTGCGTGCGTGCGTGCGTGTGTGCGTGTGTGTGTGTGTGCGTGTGTGTGTGCTTTGCGCGTGTGTGTGTGTGTGTGCGTGTGTGCTTGTGTCTGTGTGTGTGTGCGTGGGTGTGTGTGTGTGTGTGCGTGGGTGTGTGTGTGTGTGCTTGTGTGTGTGTGCGTGGGTGTGTGTGTGTGTTTGTGTTTGTGTTTGTGTGTGTCTCAAACAACAACCAGATGCAATATGATGCAATCAAATTGTGACGACCAAACAAATCACATCGATGCCATGGATCCTTGGGTTCCCTATTTCGACATATTTCGACGAGGTTTCCCCTGTTCTGGCAGTGTGTATGTGTGTGTGTGTGCACCGTGAATGGTGGAAATTGATACATGAGCGTCCCACAAAAGCCACTTCTTTCGGCTCACAGATCTGCTTGGAGGTTTCCTAAAATGGGGGGCACAGTACCCCAAAACATCCATTTGTAGATGGAATTTCCATTGTAAAGAAGAATATGCATTCAAAGAAAATCCCAGCAAGGACATGCAAGGACACTATTCAAATTTATATTCACGTCATTTCATATCTCATGCTGGAAGAATCTCTTCAGAACCTGGAAGGGCAACACCACCCAACACCCCAGATACTTTCGTCGGGTAAACCGGCTGCATATAAAGGTGACTCACACAACTACCCCAAGAATAAGTGATTGAATCACCACAAATCCACATCAACTCCCATTATTGCTGGTTCAATCCCAGCTTTCATGCTTAATAATCTGACTTTTGGTCAAACAGGTAAACAAATCGCCATTCTTGTTGCTTCATTCCTCATATGTTTGCCGGTGAAATCACCATCAACCGCTGTGTTTTTCGACTCACTGCCCCCCGTGGCGGTTCCTTCGCGGTGCGAAGGCCTTGCTGCAACTGCCGCAGCTCTGCGTTGATCGAGGCCTCGAGCTCCGCAACGCAAGCGGACCTTGGGCGGTCAGGCCGTCGTAGGTGGATGGGAAATTTCACCAAAAAATTAGGTTTTAACCATCGAAAAGTTGGATTTAATTAACCAAAAATGGATTTTAACCATTTTTAACCCAGGAAAAACATTGGATTTAGATGGATTCAGCACAAACAATGGATGATCTTTGTCAAGTTAGTATGAATAAACCACCCCATATTAATTAATCAACACCCACAGAGCCAGAAATGGGTTGGACCCCTCCTATTAATAAGCACCAGTGTCTCCCCCCAATGAACCAACACCCTGCTCACAATTATGATTCTTTTTGATTCTTCTGATGCTTTAGAATGGAATTGGCTCTGATGTTTCTGATGTGATGATTTCTGATGCTAGCTGATGAATACAGTGTCTAATCAGAGAGTTCTATGTATATGCACACATGTATTATACATAATATATATATATATATCATAAATGTGAAACTTACATTTATTTATATACATACATACATATATATATATACTTTTTCAGCACAATCTTTTCACTGAATCCCCCAAATCCAGGAGAAAAAAATATGAAGGTTTGAAAATGCATGTCCCTTATTTTTCTTTATTAAATAAAAAACATTTTGAGAGGGTCACAAAGGGTACCCCTTTAGGTGGCTTTTCCCCCCAAAATAATGTGCGTGTATCCTCCCAATTAATCAACACCCTCAGCCCACCTGGCCTCATATTGCTGATCCTTTCTGCTTTGCTTCATGAATTAATTACATGACAATCTTCTGAATCCCATTCCAAATCTCATGAATCCCATTTTTTTTGTTTTCTGCTCTTTATTTGGGGGGTCGACCTTCTCCAGCAGGGAGACCTTCTAGGGGGGGTTATTAATACGTACTTGGCATTAACCAAGAATAATATAGAGGATGAATCATCGAACATTCATGGGATATGAATGGGAGTTAACCCACCATTAATGGGATGTCGTATTCTCAACATTTCTCAACCAACCATTCATAGATTCCAATGGTACTTGCCCATAGCACAGAATGCCGTGACGTAACAAAGGAACGACAAATTTCACGGTGGATTCTGGGATGTAACCTGGCCGAAGACTGACCCAGAGACTAGTCTAAGAGACAATACCATCACACATAAATAGGCCTATTCACATAAATAGGATTAAATAGGTCTATAAAGAATAACAATTCACCTGAAACCATCTGAAATAGGCCCATTTTGGGATGGTGACCCCTTACCATCATCAGACGTGGCGATTCTTCCGGTGTAATTTATCCAGATTGTTATCCATTGTACCCCCCAGACCGCATGATATGAAATCCATTGAAATCCTACCATGTTTGTTGCTTAAATCACCAGTTTTTCATGCCACACTCTGCGTCCTGGCAGAAATCGGCCAAGGTGCTGCTGCTTCTGACTTTCGAGTTGCTTCCTGGGATGTGGCTTGAGAGATGGCCATTCCAACAACGTCACTTTCACGGGAAACCATGATCACCCAATGGCCTCATAATCCTTGGAAGCAGGAAGTCACACAAATTGTCCCTGTCAACATTGTCAAAATATACCGAAAGTATGCCAAAACATGGGCTTCATTGTACCACACGATTGGTGTTTAGAAACCATAATTATATGCGACATTTTCTTGGGAATAGGCACCTGGCTCATCCTGATTTACCTAAAATACAACTATAAAGGTAGCGAGCGGTGGGGGGATGACCCAAAGCAGGTATCAACACACCCCCATCCCGATCCTAAAGCTATTCATTGCTTAAATGCCCACACCTGACCCAAAGTTTCCAAACATTTGTGGATAAAGTCTGCGCCCAGCTATGTCCATGACCAACCTTCGAAAACAACAATTTACATATCTGTAAGCCGTGTATATGTTTACATATCTATATATAGCTGAAGGGGAAAACAGTCCCGTTCATAGCAACTTCCTTTACTTCGTGTGATGGCGAGATTGATGGGAGGTCCGCTGGGGCTCATCTGACAGGTCGTACCATGACGCTAGGGGATACCCCTCGGGCCGCCCAGCTGGGTCACTTGGGTTTGGAAATGGGTTACCCGATGCAATGTAGTTGTTTTCATGATTTTGCCATATTTTGCCAATGGCATGACCATGCATGACCATAAACTGTGTGGGTATGCCCCATTTTTAGATACACCAAAATATGGACTATCATGAATCATCAACATTATACATCAGCGTGATGAACCCCGCTATAATAAAGTAAGTCAAATCCTGCGACAGATTAGTACACCCCGCCACACACAATAAAGTCAGCCAAACTGTTTGGGAGATGTGTTTTCTTTTCTTCATTTTTGTATAAATATATATATACATACGATTATATAATATGTATATATATATATAGTTTTCTTCCTTGAACTTAATTTGTGCCATTTTGTGCCCTTTACTTTTTTAGTCTATATAAACCATCCCCCTATTTGTCATCAAAATCTCAAAATCCCCTATTCGGTCCGAATGGATCGAATGGATCGATTGCAAAAACCAAACTCCAAGAGAGGTCGCCTTGAACCACCTCGGAGCCCCCAATGAAAAAACACATCATGGTGTCACTGTGGGAGTTTGCTGTGAATATACTTTGCTGGCTCCACCCTCTTCATAATCCAGTGCTACCTCAACCCTGAATGATGGGAAATCATGGATGTGACATATATTAAACAATGTGTTCAGCAGTACCAAATGCCCGGGGTCCCAGAAGTATGTTTGGCTTCAACTTTATCAACGGGATGACTCGGTTTGGTGGGCTTGATGATCTATGGATAACGTTGGATAACATCCAGTTTTTTCATGGTGAAATCATCGACGAAATCCCTTTGTGAGCAGTGTTCAAGACCCATCTGTCATTTTACTGGTTGGTTAATAGGGATCCCCCTATTGGATTCCAAAAAGACTCCCATCAATCTATTGGGTCGTACAATCCCCAAAAAAAATCATCAACCAACAGCCAGAGGTACCCTCTGGTAAACATACAAAAAACTATGGAAAATCACCATTTTTAATGGGAAAACTCACTATTAATGGTGAAACATCAACCAACAGAGTTTTTTTGAACAAAATCCCTATGTGGCTCAAAAAAATCTGATCACTGATCACTGGAAAGCACTGGAAATCATTGGATATGTTGGTTATAAGTTCCTACCCTCTGGTAAACTAACATAGCTATTGAAAATCACCATATCTAATGGGAAAAACCAATATAAATGGCCATTTTCAATAGCTTTTTGTAGGTTTACCAGAGGGTATATAAGGGTTCCTAACTATTGAAAATCGCCATTTATAGTGAGTTTTACCATTAAATATGATCATTTTCAATAGCTATGTTAAATTACCAGAGGGTATGTTTCACTGTCCAAACCAAGGCTCTGCAAAGCCCCAAGCTCTGCCCTCACTTCCTCGGCTCCCCGCGGCTGTTTTCGGAGCTCCTGGAGCTCCCGGAGCTCGGTGTCCAGGCGATGCCTGGACCAAGCGCTGAAGCCCTGGCATTTCTTGGGACTTTACATCGGAAGATGAACAAAATCCCATTGTTATGGTGGATTAATGGTGGATTACTGGATGATTAATGGATGATTAATGGATGATTAATGGATGATTAATGGATGATTACCCTCTGGTTATGACTAACGTAGCCATGGTTTGTTGATGGCCCTAATCGAAATAGATGGTTTACCAAGCTATAAAATGGTGATTTTCCATGGCTATGTCAAATAACCAGATGGTATATTCTATTGTTCATTATATATTTTTTTAATTACATACCATCTGGAAATTGAACATAGATATGGGATGATATGGATATGGGTCAAAATTAGGTACCCCAGAAATTAGATGGTTCATACAAAAACATACACTAAAATCTGCGGTCCCATAGGACTTAAAATTGTGATTTCCCACAGCAATGTTGCATCACCAAAGGGCAAGCCACATGTTTTTCCAGTGCTATTCATCCAATCACCAAGGTTTTCCATTGTTCTCCACTCTTACAAGAAGGTAATCATATCAATTCGATACCGTTCTATCCCATTGCTATTATATTCCATAAGTCATATTTCATCAATCCCTTCTTCCATAAAACCTACCCAAATAATAAAAACTACCCCAGATTGTTTGTTTTGGGAAATTTCAGATTTGTCAATTTGCTTTTTAATTGCACCCCTTTAGAAAACAATTTAAACATGAAGGTCGTTTTTGAGGGTTGCACCCCCTAATGTAGTAATTAAAAACTAGTCAACACCGTCTTTTTTAATCATTAGGGTCCATCTTTGAAAATCAAAAGTTTTAGTTGTTATAATTAAGGTTTTGAATTGAATATTAGGGGCAAGCTTCGAAATCCAGTTTTGGCAATATCTTAACCATAGACTTGTTAAGGGATTTTGATCGATTTTGAAACTGAAAACTTTATTTAATTTAACAAGTTTGAAATTTATCATTAGGGGGAAGCTTCGAAATCCAAATGTTGGCAATAATGTAATTAGATTCTAAAAAGGATGTTGATCGATTTTGAAATCGAACGTTTTAGCTGTTCAAATAAAGGTTCTAAATCTAATATTGGGGGATTTTTTTCTCCCCCGAATATTAAATACCCACCAAAAAAACTAGCCCTAGGTTGTACTATTTAGGGGTGGGACGAGCCGAATACTGGGGGGAAGAAACTATCATTGAATCCCACTATTGTTGACGGTTCAATCGCTATGTTTCTTGGTTAATGTCAGCCCTGGATTAATAAACCCCAAACGGCTGTTTAATCCGGAAGGTACCATAAAAAAGTATCAAATCAGGACTATTGGGGGAATACCACCCTAATTAAAAAACAAAAGTTATCAAAAGTTTATTAATCCGGAGTTGACAGGAAAAAAATATTAATATCAACCCTGATGTTTTTTATACAATGTATGTTTTTAATCATGGTTCAATTAATACATATTGATACCAATCCCGTTTATTAATCAGAAAACATCAGGATTGGAAGCATTCAGCAGTGCCTGGTCTCGTCTTGCACCTCCAGGTGTCGTTTCATCTCCTCGAAACTGCGAGAGAACTTCAGCTGTTGGCCTAGCGAGACCACCCCATTCCCACATAAAGTCCTGGTTGCTAAAGGGCTATCCTGTTCTTTATGGGTTAGGAATGGTTAGGATAATCCCCGTAGTTCTTGGTTAGGAGAATCCACTATAAACATCAATAAACCAGTTAGCATACTTCCCTAATATCCCCCTATATTAACTAATCAATAGTCGTACGCGTGTATAAAGACACGTAGGTGAAGTTGTCTACATTGACAAAATCACACAGATCTCTCTCTCTCTCACTTTTTTTCGTCGACTTTGATTCATTTTGGGTACATTAAAGAGTTTGGATAACACATGATAATACAAGAAACGATGATCGTCCTTCAAATCTTCCAACACCGTTCAATTTTTTTTGGGGGGCTCTGCATGCCGGCCACTTTCGAGGCCTTCTAGTGCCTCTATCCGCTGCTGAAGCCCATCCTAGCCGTCCAAAGGGCGGCCCCTGTGTCAGAATCTTATTGGAGGGGTATCGATTGACACAGTTCTCACTTTGGATGTGCATCCCAGTTCGGTCTATCTTGACGCAGTTCTAATATACATGTATATACGAATAATCATATATAATTATATATATATATGTGTGTGTGAGATATACTCCAGTAATATGTTGGGTTATTAACATATATTAATCACTTACTAGTTGGGATGCACCCATTGAACCGCAAGCAGGGGACGTGCTTATGCACATTAATAGTGACATTAGCGTGTGTAAAGACATAGGTATGTTTATATATACACATATGCGATTATATATTTATGTGTGTGTGAAAAAAAACTGCAATTTAAGAGTATAGTTGTATGTATATATGTATATAAACATATGTATATTTATATGCATATGTATATATATATATACATATGATTACATATGTATGTATATATATATATATGTGTGAAAAATATGTATGTATATATACATATATATATATGTAAAAAATGTATGTATGTATGTATGTATATATATTTGTATATATATATATGTAAATATATATATATATATGCACATGTATATTTATATATATATGCATATGTATATATATATATATGCATATGTATATATATATATGCATGTATTGCATGTATATATATATATATGTGTGTGTATATATATGTGTATTTAAATATATGTATATATATATATATATACATATAAATGTAAATAATATATATATATATATATTAGCTAAACTCAAAAACTCGCTGCCGTGGATATGTTGAAAACCGCACGAGGGGTTAGCGGGGGGCGAACGTAGGGGCGAACACGTGGGCGAACGGGTGGACGAACGTCGCCCGCACGAGCGAGCGGGGGGGCGAGCTGGGGGGCGAGCGGACGGGCGAACAATTCGACTAGTCTTGTTTTGCCTGGTGATAATTCGTACAGTCAACCTGTGCCGAAATTATTGTACACCTACTATACAACCCAAGAATACTGGTACAAAGTTGTTGGTATTCGAAACCCGTGCAATTTTGAGGGCGGGCCCACCCCCTTGAGGGCGCATGAAGGGGTCGCACGAAGGGGTCGCACATACGCATGTACGCACGTACGTACGCATGCACGCACGCACGTTCATGTGCATGTACGCACGCACGTTCACATGCATGTTCAGAAATAAGGTTACCTTTAAGGTTACCTTTTATATAAAAGGTAACCTTATTTCTGTACGACCCTAAGCCTCCTAAAGCATATTTAGTATTAGGAGGTCACTTTTCAAAGGTAACCTTATTTCTGAACATGGGTCTGAACATGGTACCTACGTACGTTTATACGTGCGAACGTACGTGAGTACGTCTGTGCGTACATATGTGCGTACGTGTGTGCATGTGTGTGTGTGCGTGCACGTACGGCGTATGTACGTGCGTACATTCGCCCAGGTTCGCCCCCACGTTCGCCCCCCCGTTCGTCCCCCCGTTCGCCCCCCCCCCTTTTGTCCCCTCCCGTTCGCTTTCTCACCCCCGCCGTACCCTCGTTCAGATGGCCGTACGCCCCCCCACGTTCAATACGTCTAAATAACTTCAAAAACAGGCCGCAGCGACCTTTTGGGTTTAGCTAATATATATATATATATATGCACATACATATAGATACGTACATACATATAGAAATGTATGCATAAACACATTTATACCATATATATATATGTGCATAATATATATATACACATACATGCACTGTATATGTGTGTGTGCGTCTATCTGTTACCATCTTCATCTATGTGTGAGATTATGGAAGTTCATGACCATATATATATAATACATATATTTATCATATCATATCATTTCATATACTGTATTCTTTCTGAATCTGCCTGATCCTTTTTGATAGATTTGTATAGATCTCATACATGTGGTCGTGTATGTTGCATCTTGTGCGTAAAAGGCTTTGGTTCACCTTGTTCCACCTGAATCCTCCAAAGAACCCATACCTCCAGTGAATTATATAACTAACGTTATATAATATATAATCTGGAAAACCCGCCCGTTTGTAATCACTGTAGATACCTAATGTCAACATCGTATTAATAAACCCCCCCCCCTCCCCCCCCCAAACATTAAGAGCATCAAAAAAAAATTTAGGCCAAACATTCACCTAGGGTTCCTGGACAATTTTCAGACCTATGTGGCGCCGAACAAATTGCCTAATTGAAAACGAATACATAAAGTGAACTTTCTTGGAACTTTAGTATTCACAAATGAGTTGCCTAATTGAAAACGAATACATAAAGTGAACTTTCTTGGAGCTTTAGTATTCACAAATGAATTGCCTAATTGAAAACGAATACATAAAGTGAACTTTCTTGGAACTTTCGTATTCACAAATGAATTGCCTAATTGAAAACGAATACATAAAGTGAACTTTCTTGGAACTTCAGTATTCACAAATGAATTGCCTAATTGAAAACGAATACATAAAGTGAACTTTCTTGGAACTTTAGTATTCACAAATGAATTGCCTAATTGAAAACGAATACATAAAGTGAACTTTCTTGGAACTTCAGTATTCACAAATGAATTGCCTAATTGAAAACGCATACATAAAGTGAACTTTCTTGAAAGGGTTTAGTAAGGAAAGGGTTTAGTAAGGAAATCGACCATTTGAGCCTTGTTGATTTTTTTGCACTCCAGAACTTTTCAGGCAAGATTTGGAGTTTGGAGTTTACTGCTTCCAGCTCAAAGAGTCTTGAGGGCTTCAGAAAGGGTTTGAGAAAGGGTTCAACTAGGAAAGGAATTGAGAAACAAATTTAATTAACCACCAAAATTTTAGAACCCTGAAATCCAAATACTTTATTTAGGGGTGTGCAAACATACATTACTATTTTGATGTCAGGGGACTTCAAGGCTACCCCCTTGGCGCGATTGTTTTTTGGCATTTTTTGAAAAGGTTTAGTAAGGAAATCGACCATTTGAGCCTTGTTGATTTTTTTGCACTCCAGAACTTTCCCCGAAAAAAACCACCTATGTATTCTCAATGAATTGCCTAATTGAAAACGAATACATAAGGGAACTTTCCCTCCAGAAAATAAAACCACCTATGTATTCCCAAATGAATTGCCTAATTGAAAACGAATACATAAGGGAACTTTCCCTCCAAAAAAAAAAGTAACCTATGTATTCCCAAATGAATTGCCTAATTGAAAACGAATACATAAGGGAACTTTCCCTCAAAAAAAAAAACACCTATGTATTCCCAAATGAATTGCCTAATTGAAACCGAATACTAAAGGGAAAAAACGGGAAAAAGAGTTGGCGTACTTTATTACGGGGGGGTTTTATTATTGCGAACCGGGAGTTGGCGTACTTTATTGCGGGGGGGTTTATTAACGCCATGTGAACATTATGGGGAAACCCGCAGGCTTTCATATCGATTGATCAATTGAGCAGAGATCAAAATCCTTTGTCATCTTATATCCTGCTTGTCTCAGACCGGGATTCCCATATCGATGAGTTTTCCCCACAAAATAAATTAATGGATCATATTTGGATAGCAGACCCCCCGTCCCCATAATTCCCAACCTTTCCAGGGGTTGTAGATCCTTTCCTCAAGAAACCCATGGCTTTCCATCCCGATTTGCCCAGGGTCCATCTGCTGGCTACCGATCTGCTTGTCGCCCTGCCGCAACTGAGCCTCTGTCTGCACGCTGATTTCCAGGCGCCGCAAATTGTTGAAGGCCTCGTCACCTGCGACCCGACATGGTAATTCAACATGGGAAAATATGGCTAAACTATGGGGAACCATGAGAAAACCAAAAAAAATACTTTACTTCGTGTGATCCCCACCATGACATTTATACATTTTGTTACTGGCAAATCTTCTGGCATTCTATCTGACATATTTTCTGGCATTCGATCTGGCATTCTATCTGGCATTCTACCTGGCATATCTTCTGGCAGATGTTCTGGCATATCTTCTGGAAGATGTTCTGGCATATCTTCTGGCAGATGTTCTGGCATATCTTCTGGCATATCTTCTGGCATTCCATCTGGCATTCTATCTGGCAAATCTTCTGGCATTCCATCTGGCATTCTATCTAGCATATCTTCTGGCATATTATCTGGCAAATCTGCTGGCATTCTATCTGGCAAACATTCTGGCACTATATCTGGCATATCTTCTGGCATATCTTCTGGCATTCTAGCTGACATTCTATCTGGCATTCTATCTGGCATACCTTCTGGCATTCTATCTGGCATATCTTCTAACATTCTATCTGGCATATCTTCCGGCACTCTATGTGGCATATCTTTTGGCGTGGATACTCGCGGTTGAGGTCCGGCAGGGAACACTGGGCGTGGATGGTCGTGGTTGAGGTCCGGCAGGGAACACTGGGCGGGGATACTCGCGGTTGAGGTCCGGCAGGGAACACTGGGCGTGGATGGTCGTGGTTGAGGTCCGGCAGGGAACACTGGGCGGGGATGGTCGTGGTTGAGGTCCGGCAGGGAACACTGGGCGTGGATGGTCGTGGTTGAGGTCCGGCAGGGAACACTGGCGGTGATGGTCGTGGTTGAGGTCCGGCAGGGAACACTGGGCGTGGATGGTCGTGGTTGAGGTCCGACAGAGACCACTGTGCGTCGAGGGTCGCGGTTGAGCAGGAGGAGGACGAGAAGAGGGAGGAGAAGGAGGAGGACGAGGACGAGGAGGACGAGGAGGACGAGGAGGAAGCAACTGACATAAAATCTAACAACCCTCACCTGGCAGGTGGGGAAGTATATGGAAAAAGTTATCATCGTCTCGGGTCATCCTACCACGGTTGAGACTGAAAAAAAATTGAGCCAAGTCGCAGATGTCGACCAGGAGTTGCTTGACTTGGTTCAAGTTTTGCTCCTTTTGGCTGACCAATACGAGTGACCCGACGAACCATGAAAAAAACATACGAAGCCGCAACTAGCGGTGTGCCCGGCCGCGAAGGGCTAGGTTCACACATGTTCACACCTTGTGCCAGGAAAATGATGTTCCTTCGCTAATCCCCCTCAAGCTATCCACAAGAAGCTTCCTGAAAAAACCCTTTAGTTTGCCAAATCCCATGATAAAAGACTTCAATGCATCTTAATCATCCACGCCTCCTCCATCAACAAGAATTAACGTGCATGATCTCCAACAAATGCGCGTTCGTCAATTTTTCAAAACTTAAAATTTTGGAAAACAACGCTTCATTTCACCAACCGCCATTCACCATCACATTCACATAGGCAATCCACCAATTGTAGATGGTTTCGGCACACAGCTGCCTATGGCAAACCATGGCAAAAATAATCCCCAATACCATCCGATATCACCAAATAGTAGGTTTACATAGGTAGAAATCATTGGGCATACCACATTGTCCCAGATATACCTTGACATCCGCATCAAAATTGGCCCCTCTCTGCTCCTGACGCGCCATCTCTTGCATTTGCCTGGCACGAAGGGCAACTGGATTTTTCGGGGATGAATTTCCTATCAGAATTTGCCTTGTCGTCACAATTGCCCTCCAATAAATTAACATATAGGTTCCAAATAGGGGTCGGAAGATGTCGGAAGATTAGTTAGCACTAAAAGTGGGCTCTCTCTCTCTCTCTCTCTCCATCGCCATCTCCAGGAGTCTAGCCAAAGGCTAAAGGGGAGCCAAGCCCAGTGACAGGAAGGAGCAGTTCAGCCCGCTAGCCGCTAGGGTTGCTAGCTGCTTCATAGCGCCACTCCATGCCATGGGCATGGGCAACAAAGAAACTTCCACTACTAGTCGACACAAATGGAATGGTTCAAAAAACATTGGTGTTTCTCTCAGAAGGGCATTTACATGATTTTGCTCAGGGCTCGTTTGGAACAGAAGAACTCGCAGGTGGAAAGTACTGCGCCACAACCACTCACCGCGCAGAAGGCTTTGGAACAGAGCCACCAAAGTGGGTTATGTTCATTTATTTTCAGGGTCCAACTGTAGATTTACCAGAGGGTAACAGCACTGTTTGAAAGTTTCAAGTCAATTTCAATAGACTAGCTGTTTCATCCCCGAGCCAAGTCAATCATCTCCGAGCCTCTCCGCGAGAGAACCTCTTGGGTGGGCTCTGCGGGAACATCAGCGGAAACCCTGGGGGTTTTACCATGTTTTACCCATCATTATCCAGGGATTCCTGGCAATTTCCCCCCAATTCTGGGATTCAGGAAGGTAAGCAACAAGGGGGACGTCTTGTGACTTATGAGTATTCCAACTCATGGTACATTGTCAGTCCATTTTCAGGAGACAAGCCTTCTTTTCATCATGCTTGTGTCAAATAGCGACAGGTATTCAGTTGCTGTGCTGAATGCTATAGTCGATTTATCAAGTACCCTCTGGTAAACGTTTACATAGCTATGGGAAATCACCATGTTCAATGGGTAATCCACTATAAATGAGAAAATGTTAAATTACCAGCGGATAAATGGGTTTGACAAATGTGACGTTTCAGTTTCGTTCAGCGTCGCAAAAACCCATAGCGTCGCCATTTGGCGACCCGCATCATCCGCTGGCTGACCCTTGACTACTCTGAACTGCCAAGGTGCTTGGTGGTTGAGCTACCCATAAAAAGAAATATATATATATATGGCAATGTAACAGTAACAATGCCATTTCAGTAAGAAATTTACTGGCAAATAATGATGTAAACAAAATGATCAACATGTTCATTGCCATAGTCAGAGGCCAAGATCACTGTTTCAGCACATATCATGTAGCAATGTACCTGTAAGAAATGGAACAATATATTGTTGCCGCACACCTCATATCAAATGCCATGATTCATGATCAACAATTCATGTTTTATCCTGAGTTAAACTAAATAACCAAACCTTTTACTAACATGGTGATTACCATGCAAATGTTCAATCATCACTATTTTGGAAACCTTTCTCTGTGAATAGACAGTGGTTTTGTCAACTGACAACATCTTATGCATGCATGTCAAACCATTCTTACTTAATTGATCATAACTTTTTTGAATTTCCACATCAAACCCATTTTCAGCTGTGAATTTCCACATCAAAACTGATAAAAATCGTGATTTGTTACGTTGTCCACTTTCCGCAGGGAAAACGGTCACCCATTTTTTGGGCGAATAAAAAAGTCCCGGCCCAGGAACTGAGGTTCAGCTCCTGACCGCGGAAGGATCTCGCTGGATGCTGTGCTTTGTTTCATGAGAATCTGAGAAGATGAGTCATATATATATATATCTATCTATATATATATAATATATATCTATATAAATATATATATATATATATTATTTATTGATACTCATATAGGCATATAGATAACACACACACACAGATATGTCTCCATATTTCTAGGTATATCTACACACACATATATATATATATATACACATAATAAAGTATATGTATATATATATATACATATGTGTGTGTACGTGTACATATATGTATGTTATATATATATATATATTACTTCTGGGTAAATCATAATATTTCCACACCCTAAAAATCCTAAAACCGGGCTATTGTGGGATAGCTACCCCTTACAAACCATGATTCCAGTGACGTAACAGTGACATATACATGTATAATATGTATATATAAATATGTATATATAAATATGTATATATATATATATATATACGTATTCTCAGGGGTACCCCCCAAATCATCTGAAATTAGTCCATTTTCGTATTGGAATCGATGCATCTATGGGGTACCTCATGGTACCTCCATTTGTTGGTACACCTCCATATCTATATCTGGTTGGTGGTTTCAACCCCTCTGAAAAATATTAGTCAGTTGGGAGTATTATTCCCAATATATGGAAAGTCATGCAATTCATGTTCCAAACCACCAACCAGATATCATCACCATCACCATCATCATCATCATCCTTACATAGCCCTAAAGAATAGGATATCAATGCTCCAACAATCCGACACAAATCGCGGGCCCCGTCTCCAGCATCTCCAGCTTTTCTGCGGAGCTCTGCAGCTCATTCCCCTGCCGCTGCTCTTGAGCCTCGAGGTGGGGAAGAAAACATCAACCCTTCAGACCATGCAGAAACACATCCAAAATGGCGATGTTCACCTTGAAATCCTTGAGAAACCAGTGGAAATACTAGACTTACTAGGCTTTTTGGAGGAGTTCATTTCCAACAATGATGCTTCACAGCGCCTCTCCGAAACGGTCTCTTCTTGGATAGTGGGAGAAGTCGGGGACTACCTGGAAAACCTTTTGGATGCGGACTTCCGGAATACCCGCTACAAGTTGTAAAGAGGCTTATAAGTCCATCAAAAACCTCTAAAACCCCAATGGCATCCAATGGCCTATTTCTAGCTATGCATCGGGCAGGTCAACCCCACCTCCAGCGCACCTTTGAGCAGCAGCAAATCCTGGAGACCCCCGGAGAAATCAGCCACGGCAGCCGGGTCGTGTTTAGGCCGTTGGAGGCCATTTCAAGGAAAAACATATGGTGAAATAACAAACCACCAAAAAAAAACTCATAGGATGCCCATGTCGAACTGGATTCCCCCCCCTTATTCATTTTTTTTCACCTGTTGCTTTTGGCTGGGCCTGGCATGTCTTGCGTGATAAAGTCTGGCTTGTTGGCTGGGAATGAATTGTTATTTGTACCTTTGCTGATGAATTCACTCGTAATTCAATCCTACGGAAAAATGAAACATAGGATGAAGGGGTGATGGAATTAATTTCAGTGGTGTTGTTGATTGATATTGAATATATTATTACTATATGATGAATACTATATTGATATAGTATTACTATACTCACAGGTGACATGGCAAATCATGGCAAATCTCAAATATAACGAATCCTCCAAAGTTGTTTGTTTGCCGGTCATGCCCCACGAACCTCTTTTTAGCTCTTTGGCTCTTTAATGGGGAATATGAGATCTGCCTCATTACAACCTAAGTCAAGTCCTGGCTGATATCCGAGACAGCCGAGACAGCGCTGGAGGACTTCTCTTCCGCTGCCAGTTTCACGTCTGTCAGCTCCTTTGAAAAGTCGTCCAACCTTGGCTAATTGGAATTTCCTGGTGATCCCAAGAATGACAAGATTGTAGCAGAAATTGGTCGTCAGGATTGTTTTCACCAATTTTAGTTGGGCTTCTGTGATGGATCTGGCCTTCACCCAATCCTACATGCGAAATGGTCAACATCACCGAAACCAAAGATTGACCCAAAACCAAAGATTGACCCCCCAACTTTTTCTCGTCTCGTTATTGGGTGCATCCCAGGAATCGCAAGAATCGAACCATTCCTTCAATCATGGCATACCATCCAAACTAACAGTTCAAGCCTCAGAATCATACAATTGACGTAGGTAGCTGCCAGAACCCCCTGCGAGTTGGGGATGGTCACCGATTTCTTTACCCTTCGGTAACATAACCGATGGAAAATGACCCGTTGATAGAAACTTTACCTATTAAAGTGGTGATTTTCCACAAGAAACTGTCAAATGACCGGAGGGTATACCTCCAGTTACCTCCATCAGTCATAATAAAGGTTCATTCCAATGTGTGATATGTGTGATGCTTCATCCCCATTTTGCTTGGTCAAACGGTCAAACCCCAATAAGCAATGGAATATCACTGATATCTTGGTTGGTCGTGTCAGAACCATCTGCCATCATCTGCCCCAGCGGCTTTTGCTGCACCAAGTGCTGCAAGTCCCTGACCTGCACCGCCTGCGCCTTCGTGAACTCTTCGAGGTTCCCACAGACCTTGCACGAGCGAAAACAGTAGCCCTGAGTTTACAAGTATGAAAAGAAACCAGGGGTACTTTAATGACCCCCAATGTTGGTTAAACATGGTTAAACCACATTAGTATGGATTAATGTTAAGGCTTCGGATTTGTGGTAAAGCTTGGGGGCCCTGAGAATTTAATGACCCCCAATGATTGGTTAAAACAATCATAAACCATACCCCAGTCATCAACATAAATAGGTGGTATGGTTACCATTCCCAAATGGGATTGTTTATTGTTGTTTTTACCCAAATTAAATATGATAATAACTTCACCCCAAAAAACACTTCTATGAAAATAATCTGTGCTCTCACTAAGAATAAACCTCTGACATCATACATCTCCATCACCATCAGCCCACCCTGCCCCGGCTGTGACAGGGAGCGAGATCAATTGAGAGCATGCACATCTTATAAGCGTTTATACTCCATTTTGTTTTTGATTTGAGCACCCCATCGTTGTGCGCGATTTCCACCCATATAATTGATGGCCTGCAGTTTTATCCCCACAATTGATTGCTTGGAGCCCCATCAGTAGTCTTAGAATGCCGATATCTGAATCTGAAACATGTTTTACACACTGATGTTTTGAGTTTGTATCATGGTTTCTTCCCCAAATTTTCAGTGGAAAAACCAAAGTCCCCCTATCTTTAACTCAGGGGTTCAATGCCCATGATCCCAGCAGCTAGATCCCCCTCTAGTCATTCAACTGTTTGCTATGGAAACCATTGCCTATGTATTAACATGATTTTAACTTTAAAAACTGATGATTTTCTATAGCTATGTTAACTCACCAAATGGTAATGGATTGTGTTTGTTGATGTTTGTGCCAGCTTTCATAATGAATTGATCTCATCCTCCAACAATTAATTAAATCGCTCAAGGGACCCCCTGGGTGTAGCACCTTACAGCACTTGCCCTGGAAACATGTTGGAACCCAACGCCTCAATGGTTTTACCTCATATTTGATGGTTAAAACCCATGAAATTATCATGTTTCTTAGTTAGATCCCATGAAAATGCCATGATATCACACCACTCTTATCCATGTTTCATGCTTAAATGTCATAAAAATCCCGTGAAATCACCATTTTTCGTGGTCAAATATCATCATATTCCCATGAGATCTCTACTTTTCTTAGGGGAAATTCCCAGAGAATCAGCTCCAACGCCACGCCTTCATCAGCTCCTCCATCTCAGCGCGGCACGGCGGTTCCAACGGCTCCGGCGGCTCCAACGGCTCCGGCGCCAGGCGCTGCTGGAGCAGCTCCACGTCGTCGCCTCGGAGGCTCCATAGTCATTTTTTGAATTCAAAAAATGGTCAGCGTAAATATATATATATATCATATATCATATCATATCATATCATATCATATCATATCATATGTATGTATAATATCATGTGTCTGTATAATATCATATGTCTGTATAAATATAAACTTATGTATATATGTATATATAATGTGTATATCTAGTATGTATATGGGTGTTTCTCAAAATTAGGGGGGCAAGCTGTTTCAATTTGGTTTCCACATGAAAGAGTCACCAATAACTTGCATGATTTTAGGGACCGTCCATTTTCAACCCTCAATATTACGCATCCAGGGCGCCTCGTGAAAATGCTAGCATAACAGAGTATATATGTGCTAGACTATAATGAAGGATAAAAACCCTAGGTGAGCACGAGAAAGGGCTAGCATCTGTTCAAGGTTCCCAAATTCCCAAATCCGATAACATCTTTAGATAATATTACATTACATAACAACAAGCACAATTTGTCGTTGGCGGAAAAGGTAGCAAAACATGTCAATCATTGTCAATCTGTCATGTTTGGCCATGTCCACGTCGACAGTATTTGCCATTCATGAGGGTTCTGTATGGCCCGGCGCACATCTTTGACATACGCATGGACAAACGGATGGACGCATGAAACATCATGGAACACTGACCGACAGCTGGCTCAAAACAACCCAACAACATGGAAGAACATAAACATACATAAACACCAAACCCTCCTGTTAACAAGTTACATAAAACAGAGTTGGTACTGTAAATGTCCTGGATTGGGGATTTTGAACATCACTTTCAAGTAACTGTTCTAAATTATATATATCCCCAACAGTTGGGTGATGTTCCCTTCGGATATTTACCAACCCTGAATTTTATATATGGCTAGACAATACAAAACCATCTAAACACACCATTGAACATGCCATTGAACCATATTAAACCCATATAAACCCATCTTATGAAGCATCTGCTTGCCCAGCCACTAACTTTTGTCAACTTCTCCCACAAGCAGTCGATCCTGAAATGCGCAAAGATGCACGTATGAAGCCACCGGTCAATTGGTTGATTGATGCAAAAAAATAAATATGGCAAATCTGTTGTCAGCCAAACCTATTTCCCGCCACAAAAGTAAGTACACATATATACACATACCTACGCTTGCCAGGTTGGCTACTGGACATAGTTTCCCGCATCAAAATCCAATCAAGATGCATGCTGACAGTGGCCACTGCTTTCTGCGCAGCATTGTCCAGCAGCTGCCAATCGTTTCTCGGCACTGGACCGACTGGAAATGGGATTCCTGAGCGTTTCGGCCTCCAGGGGATCCGGTGGGTTCCAAAAAATAAACCTTACAGCCATAGCAGCTTCACTTCGGCTAGTCTTTGGTTTTGAGCAACTCCCCGAGTCTGCAAGACAAGCAGCTTAGGATGCAAACTTCGTTGTGACTTTGTACATCAATGGGCCAATAAACCTTGTGACAAACCAAAAAAACTACGTATGTAACATCGCAGATGTCGTTCAAAGGAATAAAATGTACCGGAAATAAAAAACAATGTTGAGTCTATTTTGATGGGAAAAGCCATTGTTTCGTTTAGGTTTTCCTTTAAGACAACCCACTCTCTCTGTAACCCTATCTCTTTCTAAAAGTCAATTGTATATCACCCATTTCGTGGTCGAAAAAAACAAATACTTGGAACCAGCAGCCAGAAAAACAATAGTTTCCTTGACTGGCTTGTCATTCACTTCCAGGCACCTATTTGCAATCTATTTTATTTTGAATATTTTGCGATTTACCTGTACGAGATGTATGTAATTTTAAATTTACACTCGCCTAATATTTGCCTATCTGATTTGCATTCATGCATGCATATATAAGATATATATATATAATCCCATTCCCCTAATATTGGTTTGGTAGGGGATGTTCACATGTTTGAGACCAATTGAGACCATCTTCTAGTCATGGTCAATCTTTGGTAGTCATATGTAGTCATCAAACAATACTTGTTATGGTGATTTTATGTTATTTTCCATTTATAGAGCAAAAGTCACCAGAGGAAACTCTCCACCCAGTGATGTTTTAAGTCCAATATAAAAGGCTATTTTCCATCTATGCTAAATAAATCCAACCCCCAAAATCACCCAAAATCCTCCATCTGATCCAGTGATCCCAATCACAAATTGCCAACATTTGCCAACCCCCAAACTCCTCCCAGGGAACGTAGTGACTCCAGGGGATTGCCCCAGGGAACCCCTGGGGAGGACGTCATCACCCAGCATCGTTGCGACTCCGAGGGCAGCAGTCGCTGCTCCGGCGACGACGGCACGGACGCCATGGCGCCCGCGCGTTGCGCGCTGCGCGTTGCGCTGAGCCGTGGAGGGTTGCCGTGCGTCGAGGGCGAGGCTGGAAGCTCAATGGGATTTACCGCAAATCCGCCCGACCCTGCCAGTTTTCCACATAAAGATGGGTGATTTTCGATGTTTATTTACCAGTAATAATGGCAGTTTGAATAAGATCTGGATCTGATGGTGAATTATTGTCATATGTCATCATATTTCGCATAGTAATAATTCACATCCAAAAAGTATATGGAATGGAATGGAATGTATAGTCATAGTCATAGTATGTCATAGTATTTATTAGCTGGCAACTACATGTAACTATACATACATAGCTGGTGTATTACCAAAAAAGATGATAGTCCCAAGATGTCCCAAGTAAATTATAATATCAATGTATGAACCATCAACATTGACATGATATAGTAAGCCCCAAAAAGATATGTTTACGGCTTTACCATGGGGAAGCCACCCTTCAGGGCGAACCCTTCCAATGTTTCATGGAACATGTAGGTTCTCCGAAAACGTGGGTCAAAACCAAGAGGAATGTCTGTGGGACCCATGGAACCATCATCCAAATGGGCATCTAGTCCTGGTGGTTGGCAGGGAAATGCCCTGCAGAACGAAGTTTCTGAGATGTAGGCTGTAGGGTATGTAGGGTGGTCTCGTACCCCTCAATGAGCCGCGACCAACAGATGTCGCTTTTGAAACATCTCCACATCTTCCAAAAGAATGGGAACAAGAACCATCATGACAAGATATGGTAGTTTAAGATAGCTATGGCTATGGAAGGTGTAGCCCATGTATAGTCTATTCTAGACGATTCACCTATCAAAAACAGTGGTTTTGCAGCCCCTTGATGTGGGGCCCGGCGCTGGGGCGCCTGTAACAACTCGCCGGTGGCTCAGAGCCCAGGGCCACATAGCTCGGACCAAAAAACTCCGCCCTCGCCTGTGGGTTGAACTTGATAAAGCTGACACTCCACATGAGCATTGTACATGATAATATATCTATGTCCATGTCTACATACTATATAAGTATATATGTATATATATGCATATATATATATATTATAGCTATATATACTATATTAATCTATATTATATATATATAATATATACATATACATTATAGCTCCAAGAACTTTCAAATATGGTATCTTAGAACTTGGGGGCTCAAATCAAAAGTTCCGGGGCCTGACCTGTTGTGTGACATCTTTAGCACTAAAACATGATGGGGCAGTAGGAGTGGAAGTACATCCAAAGAATGACAAGTACCAGGTTACCAGATTGCATCTGTTGGCTTGCTTTGACAAATCTTGCCCAGACCCACGAAGCAGGGTACAGGGCTTGATCTCTTAATATCTCTTGATCAGGTCTTGGTGTAGGGAGCTGCTGGGTCTAGTTTGGTTTTTATATGTTTTGATGTTCCATGTTTGAATGTTTCCTGAACCTCAGCTGCCTAAATCAGAAAAACCATGTGTGATTCGTCCTGCGGAAACCCCACCTGCCGTGGAACCCCCACGGAGTCCCCAACAGCTAAAAAGGCGAGGAAAGGCCTCGGGAGATTTGAAGGCGGAGCTTTTCCTTCTGACTCCTTGAGTTTGTATATGAAATGGAACCCCCACCAAAAAACATGACAATGCCCAAAGACTGTGTCAGAACATGTCTCGAAATCAAGCGGTTCTTGAACATTCTTGGATGTTTTTTTAAACTGTATATGGGTGAAACATGGTGAAACTGGGGATGATTATTGAGCGTCATTTTTTTTCAAAGGCGAAGACATCACCCGACAATTGGTGGGCCACCGGACAATTCATCTGAATCCTGGCACCGAAGATTTACAGCAAGTAGGGTAGTTATCAATGGCACCCTCTGGGAATCAAACACGGCAATGGAAGGTAATCATCTACAAATGGTGGATTTTCCATCGCCATTGTTTGATTACCAGAGGGTACATTCCAGGGTGCTAAGGTGGATAATTAATACACTCCACGCCACTACCAATCTCAATGCCGATGTGGCTTATTGCGTTCAAAAACCCTCCGAGGATGGATTTAGCGCAATGAGGCATCCCCATCACTCAGCTATGTTACCGCATCCCACCAAAAGAAAATGAAAAGCCAGACCAACCATATACCAACATATATCTCCCAAAATGGATTAAAAATGACTTAGTGACTAAAGTATATAGTATTATATAGTAAAGTCCTATTCAGCATCATCCACCTGCCTTCCTCCAATCTGCCAATCCCTACCGGCCGCAATAGAACTGCCTCGGCCCCTGTGAGGTTGTAAGAGGCTTTAGCTCCAACCTCCCATGGCAAAAGTCGTTGGGTGTGTCTGAAAACGGCTAGTAAAACCATTATTTTCGAGTAGGGAAAATATGGGAAAATTATGATGAACACTCAATTTGGATCCATGCATCATGCATCCCCGAAATTTTCAGACACCATGTTCAAAAGCCACGCATCATGGCTGGGTGCCCAAACAGGATATCCTAAGGTATCTGTGAGGCTGAAGGCCGCATAGAGCCAACCTGGCAGTGCTGCGCGGAGGGAAAGTCTCCGAAAGTTTCATATCGCAGTCAGTTGGGGCGTAGCTATCCCAAATTTCAAAGAAATGAAAACAAGACAGAACCAGACTGCCAACAAAAGTAGCAAAGTCCAATAGCAACAACTATCAACATCTTCTTTGGCATCTTTAGCGCTTCTTCCAATGTGAGGTTTCAGATGTTCCAGGAAATTTGGCGACTGCTGAGGGCGCGAAGGAATCCGCAAACTGACAGGTCCAGAGGCTTCCTTCGAGCCGTGCACATATTGATCCATGTTGATCCAGATTCCTTCATATTCATTCATATTCCACTACAGTACCTTTGCCCAATAGCAGCAAAAAGTATCAAAAAGTGTCATGTCACTACTCTTACTTGTTTCAGCAGTTCAGCGGGACAGGTTGGCGCCTGTGAAGGCAGCTTGGGAACCCTTCACTGTACACAAGGCTCCTGAAATCTTGCCTCTCACACCGTGAATTCACACTGCTTTCCTCAGCATCTAAAGGAAGTTACCCGCCCTCACGTGAGGCCAGGAATGCCGCATCCAATTCCTTGATTTCGGTCCTATCTTCCCGCAACAAGGTTAAGGGCGGCGGTGCCTCACAAAGGAGCTGCTGCCATTCCTCACATTCACCATTCATCAACTCCATTCCCTGAGGTTCATGGTAGGGATCCCCCAGCATCAGATCCCACTCTCCTCCCGCAGCCGAATCCATGGCCATGCCAGGCCCCGCGGAGCGGCACACCCACTCGGGCTCTCGGTAGCAGTCGCCTGCCAGACGTGGCACCGCCTCAGCACCTGGGGCCAAGCCCAGCAGGTCGCCCGCCGTGCGCAACGCCACCGGGGCCGAGCGCAGCGTGGCGAAGCAGCTGTGCGCAAGGCATTCCTCGGCGGCCGGGCGGTGCTCGGCGTTGGAACGCAGCATCCGACCCAAGAGGTCCGTCATGGGCAGAGGCAGCGGCTTCTTCCAACTCTTGGCCAAGGCCAAGAGGCCATTGGATTGGACCCATTGAAAGTAGCTGTCCGTGGGCCTGGCCTGCCAGGGTTTTTGGCATATGCGGGGGGAGTCATGCTCAACAAGTACTTGAGGTGAGGTTTTCAGACCCTCATGGCGCGGAGGATCCCAAATACATGAAATCTTATATACATGATGTGTGGAGTTACACGAATCTCAGTGTTTTTTTACTTGCTCTTTTGTGGAACTCCCTCTCTCTCTCTCCCTGAGTTTCTGTAGCTACACATAGGATAACCCATTTGTACCTGGCAGCTGTGATCAGTATCGTCTTTGGCAGGGAAGTTGAAAACATTTGAAAACCACTCATGACTCACTTCCCACATAACTTACACCTGGGAGCATCCCGCACGAGGCCCACCTGCTTCCATGGGGGCGCGGCAAAGAACATGATCAGGACGCTGACGGCCGTCGCAAAGATATCCACCGCCGGGGCCGTGTAGCCGTAGGGCTCTGCCACCGATGCCTCCACGTCCAGGAGACGCACGTGGCACAAGAACTCCTGGTGAATCCAGGCAGGAATTAAAAGAGAGCTGGGGATTGGGCGACACTCAAAGTCATGTTAAATAATGTCATTTAAATATCTTAAAGACAAGTAGACTATTGATAAACTATGATAGTAGAATATCCTAACATGTGGAATATTCATGTGCCCCTTTCTGGTGGGTGAGGCTTTGATCCACACATGGTAATCTCTGGTAACTCCAGACAGCCGCAACGCAAAATTGTGTCAACATTTGCCTCTCATAACATGTCCGGTGTGCATGTTGTAAAGGCATCCTAACTACGCTGTAATTATTTTTGCCCTGTAAGCATTGTAGATCCATGCGCAGGTGACAGCAGTCCTGTCCAGGGGTATAGGCCAACGCCACCTGCCCTGGCGATAGGCCAGGAGGCACCATCACTTGTAGCCGTTGGCTGCCAGGGATGTAGGTCTCTGGGGGCCGGTAGTAAGGTTTCCCGGTGGCCAGGAAGTAGCGAAGCAATTGACCAGATGAAGATTGGCTACCTTGGCAGGTTCCCAAGTATCGCACTTCAATACTGGTTGTAAAACAATGACCGACATGTTCAGATTTTGGATCCAGTGGATACGCAAAAGATCGCCTCTAGGGAATGGTCGTGTTGGAGGCAAAGGGTGAATCATCTTCAACCGGTGGCTTGCCAACTATTAAACCCATTCCAATTTTTATTTCAATAAAATGGTAGTTCAACCACCAGCGAGCGACGAACTGCTTGCCCAAAATCCATCAAACGAATATCACCTTTGCTCAGCAAAATATTCTCCAGAGAAATGTCTCTGTGACAAATCTGCTGCTTATGGAGGAAGGCGACCGCCTGCAGCAACTGCCAGGACCACAACCAGATGAGATCTTTGCTGGGATGGTGACTGGAGATCATTCCAAACAAATCTCCACCATCCTTAGATGTGCTCCGATGACTCTGCAAAAAAAAAATCG